AAGTTGCCCAACGTGTTGGTCTTTTTCTTTCACTCTCCCCCAAATCAGAGTGAGGGTCCAGCAAGGAGGGGAGGGGGTGAGTGGGGTGGGGGGAGCTCTGGCTCTGCCTCTGGAGCACCCAGGGCCAGCTGCCTCTGAGGGCCTCTGTGCTTCTGGGCATGGGAAGAGCGCGGGGTGAAGGGAGTGAGGAGTCCTGGGCAGGTGCAGCCCCGTGCCCGAGCCCCAGTGCCCAGGAGGAGTTCCCAGCCCACCCTTAGCTCCAGGCCAAGTGCCCTCAGGGCCTCTGGCACTCGCCAGGGCCCTCCGCTGCTCCTCTGAGCAATTACATAATGAAGCCTGGGTGCGTGGCTGCGGAGCCGCCTTTGTTATTGCAATCTGCCTCGCAGCCGCAGCCCTCGAGTATTAATAAACCGATCACTCACGGTGCCAGGCTAGGCTTATTTATGTAGATTTGGATTGGGGTACCTCTGAGGGAATCATAAACAGACACACGGGCCTTCTCTCCCAGGAGGGAGGAAGGGAGCCGGCCCCTCAGCACTGAGCCCCCCTCATCCCGACCCAGTCCACAGTCTGATCTTGAGATCGCAAACAAAATACTCCTGCCCTTGCAGCTCAGTGGGTCGGAGCGTCATCCCTACACCAGTGAGGGCACATTCCCCAGGGATGCTCATTACCCTCACCAGGTGAATGGGCAAAGCAAAGTGTCCAGTGTCCTTTCACAGCTAGGAATCTGCTTCACGAACTCCACATGGTCCTCAAACCTCAGCTCCTTTGGGAATCTCCGGGGCTGGGGAATGCAGGCTGCTGCCCAGCCCCCCTTTCCCATTCCGTGGTGTGAAGCGGGACGGAGACGTTGCCTTTCTAACACACGCCCTGTGAGCACACAGTGAGAACCGCTGCTCCAAGGCGATTTTATGAATTAGAATCTGTTGGCACAGGGGACGCTCAGCACTTTGAATCTGGACCCAGCCCGAGGCTCCCGTTGGTTTGGCAGAAGTGTCAACGTGCCCACAGGGAATAATCCATACTCCATCCTGGCTGAGTCCTGGAAGCTTCCCCCTTCATAGCACAGAGCCACAGGTGTCCTGGGCCTCGGGTTCAAGGTCCTCAGACGTGTCCCCCACCCGCAGCTGGTGGAGGACGGTGTTCCTGCAGGAAGCCACATGCACGCCCCTCCGCTTCCCCTCCACGTTCATTCACTGAGTCAATGAACAATTCCTGAGCCTTTCTGGTGAGCCAGGCCCTGAGCTCAGGACTTAATGTAGAGTCTCACTTAATCCTCCAAGTACCCTGTGAGTCATCACAGTTTCCCTCTTTCCATTTGACAGATGAAGGAACGGAGGCTCAGAGAGGCTGAGAAACTTGCCTGAGGCCAGAGAGGAAGTGAGGGAGGACTAGGCCCTTGCCCTTAAACCCCAGAAGGTCTGACTCCCAAGTCCTGCTCTCACCTGTCCCCTTTGGTTTCACTCTGCTGGATGCAGAAAAGGGCTCACGGTGGCCCTCTGGCTCCAGAGCTGTCACATCCTTCCTTTGGGAAAGGCTGGCCTCCATCCTGCTGTCTGTCCCCACAGGTGAGGAGCTGCGTGGCATTCCACAGCAGCAGCAGCAGCAGGAGGATTCCCAGGAGGGGGAGTGGCCTGGCGGAAGAGGGGGGAGGGGAGGCCTGTCTCAGAGTTCCTGAGCTCCCAGCTGCTTCTCCCGGGCCCCAAGGCTTTGCTCAGCCTGGCACCACTGGGGTGGAGAGGAAAGCCCCAGAGGTCTTACCAGGGAAGGAAGCTCTAGAGGAAGTGAGGGGAACCAGGGAGAGAAACCGGTGGCAAGGATGAGTGCCCAGCCCCTCTGCCTCATTCCTTGGGACAGTGGTGCTGCTTGTGGCAGCTTCACCCACCCTGGCCTGACAACCCCAGAGCCACCTTTCACAGTTTACAAAGCACCAGCACCCCTGCAGCCCTCTCCCTCCCTCCTCCTCTGGCTGCCCCGTTAATAAGACCAGCAACAATAATTTACTCTGTGCCTGCTCCTTGCTTTATAGGCATCCATGCTGTTAAACTCCCAATAAGCCCAGGAGGTAGGCACTGATATCTCCATTTCACAGAGCAGGAAACTGAGGCTCAGAGAAATGAAAGCACTGGCCCGTGGTCCCGTAACTAGGATTTGAACCCAGGTCCATCAGCTCCAAAACCTCTGGGCTCAATCACAAGAACTTCTGCCAACATCCTCTTCCAGTATGTGGCCCGCCCCCAGCCCCCTGCCCCTCATCCCCATGGAGGGGATCGCTGCTGAGACCTCTCTCCAGGCTCTATCCCTA